TCTTTCCACAAAAGGCAATCGATCTTTATTCCCATATGTATCCGTCAGTAAACTAAAACAACAATAATATAAAATGTACATTTATATCGGAATACTCGTCGAGTTAGAAACAGCAGGTGATGTCGCATTCCCAGTAGATTTCAATGGAAACCCGTACACCGTGATGGTTCCCGAATTATTGATAGGCTCGTTCTATTTACACCTTTACTGGCAAAAAGTAATCGACCAATAGTCGAGCACTTTAGGAGATAGCGTTTAAGATTCCTGGCTTGTGATTGGATGGAGATGCTGGGGTAATATTGCGTTTAACATTAATTCATTATCGTTATCAGTACTTGGCAGTGTTTTTTAACGTTTTATAATAACTATCGTGAGACATACTAAATTAACTAAAACTCACGGGTTACTCACGTGAATATACTGAGAAAAGCTCTGCTAGTTAAACTGTCAAACACCAAGCGGTCACCGGTGACCGCGACCTATTGTTCTTTAATTGTGTCTATAAAACCGGTACTCGACGAGTTAAAACTCGATGTCGCGCTGCCTACTTATCGCCGCGACCGCGCACGCTGCTCATGAGGAAGAACCTCTCTGTGGTTCGAAACTAGTAGAGCTGTCCTCAGTATATTCACGTGAGTAACCTGCGATTTTTAGTTAACTTAGCAGTATACCTCTATTGTCTTCTCTATACAGGGTGTAAACGGAACGGTCCCGAAACGCTGACAAAAAAGAAATAGTTTTTACAATTTTAATCGTTTTTGTTTTCGTGTTAATTGTGCAACATCAACCTTGAGCAGTTGATTACAACTATTATTACATAAAAGAAACCTTTAATTCCTTTTTGTCAATAAAAACCTTCTTATTTACCATCACGTGTCGGCATTTTTCGGGAGTATTCCGATTACACCTGTATAAGATGCGAGTTTGCTGTCATTTCCACGCGTTGTAGCCAGATTAGAGAATTCAGTCTATCAGAGAGCATTGTTGCTTAGTCTCTGCCAATTCTACAATCTAGCCATCTCTAACGACACCAAAGGGCGAATAGAATAGAATAGAATGATTATTTATTTGCTCAGAATGTAGGTGCACAATAAGGTGATATTAAAACACTAGTAAGGTATCCGTGTCGTGGTGTCCCGAGGGTTTAAGCCACTCGCTTCTCATGCACGAGGGTGCGGGTTCGAAATCTAACAACGGCAAATTACCAATGTGACTTTTACCGAGTTATATGTACTTTCTAAGATTATTGAGACACCACTGACAAATGGTGAAGGAAAACATCGTGACCTGCAAGCGTGGTGATTAATGCTCAAACGTTTTCCGTCTGAGAAGAGGTCTTTGGTCAGCAGTGGCTACTCATAGGCTGTTGATGTAAGGTATCCATGTACATTCTTCCATTTTTCCTTGCATCCATTGATGCCAGCTCAGCATCAGATATATTATGACACAGTTACAATTTATCAGCTAAATGATCAGACACAGAGTAATAACATTAAGTGTGGGAGAGCGCCATGCTTCCGCACGAATGGGTCAGCTCGACCGGAGTGATACCACGGCCTCACAGAAAAGCGACGTGAAGCCACATTGTGTTTCATCATGTGAGTGAGTTAACTGGTGGCCCAATTACCCCCCTCCCCAATCTTATCAATCCCGAAGAATCCCCCACAATCCTCGAATTCCCAATTCCAGTGACGCACTTGTAACGCCTTGGTGTTTCAGGTGTCTATGGGCGGCGCCGATTACTTACCATCAGGTGATCCTGCTCTTTTTCTAGCTAATCTCATAAAATTTCTTGTTGAAAATTGTTATGACGACATTAAAATAGCAAATTTTCACCTGTGTATAAATAAGTAGTTCCGATTTAAATCTCAAGATCTAAATATGTATTTAGGTATGTACCTAGTAGCTAAAAAGTAGTGCATCAAGCTTATTTGTCCCACTTCACTTTGGGTGCACAAATTATTCATGCACCATCAGCGCTTCGCCACGAAATAAGGCGCTTCAGAGTTTTCTTTAAACAAACGAGTTCCCTGTAAAACTCTTTAAATAGAAAGCAAAGAAAAAAGCTTTTAGATCGCCTTTAAATCGGTCTGGTAAGACGAAAATGGCTTTTCGCACCATCCAAGGTGTTTGTATTTATTTCTAAAAAGGCTGGAGTGATAAAATATTCAGGATTATGAAGTTTTTTTAGAGAGGGATCTTTAAAACAGTAGGGTAAGTATTTCTTCCAAGTTTTTCTTTACTTAAGTAATTTAAAAATCGATTGAAATAACGAATTGTTACTGCAACAATAAAAAGAAACAATATACGTTTAAAAACTCTTAATAAATAGTAGTAGGGATGTCCATAAAAATGAAAAATATAGTCCTTAACATCCGATACCCAATAATTTCTACTCTACCGGAAAAAATGTTACCAGTTTTCCTAATAAAGTACTCGAATCTCGTTAACTCTCACATTTTAAGCGTTTTTTTAGCTAACCCTAACGTTATCGGTTCAGGGGTAATACGTCTTCCATTCGCCTGGGGACGTCATAAAGCCGGAATGCGATTTTAATGTGTCGCACCTCAGGTGACTTCAGATTTGCATTATTCATGATGCTCTATCCAAATTGATCGATTCCCACTCCGATTTGACTAAGAACCCAACTCTAAGGATCTGCGGTTGATGCGAATTTTAAGACTAAATTAAATATTAAAAGATCAGGCTTTATGTTTGTGAGGATTGGTCCCTATTCGCGACGAAAGTGGCCTCCTTTAAAAGGAAAAAAAGATTGGCTTTTTTACATCGGTGGTGGTGTCTACTTGAATTTCATTTTTTGTTTCGCCTTTTCTCATAAATCTAAGCTGGTAGATGTCACGTGAGAGTTGCCGATTTTTCGAATTCTCTAAGTACAACATATGTTTTTTATAGGTACTTATAGAGTTTACTGGGATATTTTTCAAGACACCATATCCCAAGACTTACATCAAAAACTTATAACAGCATCTTCCTATTTTAAAACGAAGTTTGCAGCAAAGTTGTAGGTTCTATTACGATCTTATCAGACGTTCAGATGATGTAAGACTGCCTGGAGACGTTAATCTGAACGTCGCAACTTCTCGATGCCACTGACTTACCGGCCTTATCATTGACTTGAATTATTCATAGCCAGCTTTAAGAAGTGCAGTCTCCATTTACTTTGTTACTCATGGTACTTTTCATTTTTTATTAATAATCGTAAATGTACGGATGTGTGGTAATTTTGTAATGCATTAATATGAAGTCGGAGAGTAATGCGAGTTTCAGTTAACATAACATTTTTTGTGTGAGTGTTTCATTAATGAACTACTCAGTATGGTCATGAAGTCTGCACTTATATGTTTTCTTAATAGGGTAGATGCCTAATTTTTATTTTAATGTCCGTCTGGTAGATTATTTAAATCATTAGACACGTATTTTTTATTTTCTTACAGAAACGAATACTTTCGACGATATATCGGTTTGAAATGTCGCGTGACGTCACTTCTATGTACATTTTATACGTAGAAATGACGTTTTAGCTCCCACTCCTAAACTTTGATTCGTTTTATCTTAGTATTGTTTTATTATAGAACACATATTATAAAAAAATACGTGTCTAATATTTTTTCATTACCTAATATGTATTTTTAATTTTCATGGGTATGATGGGTTGATGACAGGGTTGTCATCAACCCAATTATTGTTCTTAGAATAATAAAAATCAATAAAAAAATCATGTGATGTAAAATAAAATCTTCCCCAAAAATAACACAAACATCAATCTAATCACACATTAAACTCCATTACCTTATAACCTCATAAAAGACAACATGTCTTGGCTTACCCTTTACTCCCGTATCGCCTTACCCTTTCATATCGCCCACATATGAAGCCATATATCTCTATCAGTTACCTGCAAATGAAACACGATGCCACATCTATGATTGATGAGTTTCGACGGCCTGTTAGTCAATGCTGCGCCGCCATTAGTCATAATTTGACGTTACTCACTGTAATGTCATCAGCAGCGATATCGGTATTATATTGAGCTGTGTAATTTGAGAGGGTTCGTATTAGATTGCTGTCTGTTTTGGAGCGAAGCTGTTTAAATAGACATACATAGTGATATCACAGTCTTAGTTAAATCTTTTGATACTCGAACATTTCTGATAATGAGGTCATTAAATTCGTAATCTAGAATAGACTAGTTTCCTAAATTTTATTTTAATGTCGATGTAGATTACTTTAAAACATTAGACATGTATTCTTTATTTTCTCACAAAATTAAATGCTTTCGACGATATATTGATTTGAAATGTCGTGTGACGTCACAGCGTGCTACAAAATGTAGCACGTTGTGACGTAACTACCTCCCACTCCTACACTTAACTCCATTTTATCTAAGTATTGTAACTTTATACGAGAAAATAAAAAATACGTGTCTAATATTTTTTCATTATCTAACTGACGTTCAATTATATTTTTAATTTTCTTACCCTGGAAACTACCCAATTGTTTTAATTTATTTTGGGCACAAGACATTCCTTTTTTTTGGAATAGGTGACAAACGAGCAGACGTTGCACCTGATGGTAAGCGATCAGCGCCCATGGACACTCACAACTCCAAAGGAGTTCCAGCTGAGTTGCCGGCCTTTTAAAAAGGAATACGCTCTTTCTTGAAGGTCGTATCGGTTCGAAAATATCGCCGACGATAGATCATTCCAGTTTTGCTGCATTTTTCCTATATTAAATGTGTCGAGATATTTAAATGGATAAATTATTATGTTTTCGGCTTACTCACGTAAAAATTTGACGAGGGACTCAACTAGTTTCAAGCCATGCAAGAGACTCATATTCATGAGCAGCCTTTCGCGACCCGCGACGCGGCGACTGACACTCTCTATCCAATCCACCATTATATCGTTTTTGCAGATCTGTATCGGCAGAGTAAGTGGCAGTCACTCAGGGTATTGTTAAGTTTTATTTGTTTGTTGCAGATTCAAGGAATGTTGTGTTCACAATAGTGAGCCAGCCGGAGCCTTACCACGCCAGTGTCGCCAAGCGACTCAAACAGGACATTGAGAGCCAAGTGATGCAACTTGAAAATGTTAGGTTTTTATAAAGTAGTTATTTATTTTTAAATAAATCAAAGTTGTCTACAAAAGTATGATAGAATATTTGTTTATTCATCATCTTAGAAAATGGCTTTGAAGCACGAAGCACTATGAACAACATGATGTACCCATATTTGTGCAAATAAATAATTTGAATTTGAATTTGAATTTGAATTTGAAGTATTGTGGGATTGTAACAGAAAATTCCCGTCTTATTAATTTTACACCAGTGAAGCAGTTACTTACTAGTTTATTCGATCTCAAATAAAGCTTAGGGTTTCAGTATCAAACGTGGCTTCGGAAAATTTATTCCTGAAATTTTAAGAACTATTTAGGTTTGACTTATTTTCATTTAGAAGATTAACTTATAACTACCTTCGTACAATGAATCACGAAACTTCACTTTCCTTCCTACTAGCGATATCCAAAAACTCACATAACACACGAGGACTTCCCGGTAGCTGGTGCATGGACGATCCTGCCTCTCCTAGGGCCTCTAACGTCACGGTATAGGCGTAGTGACGTCAGATGGGTGCTGTTCGTGGAGACCCATACTGCAGTACGCTGTGACAAACTCATTCAGGCTCTTGCGGCCGCTGATAAACTGGAGGTGAGGGTTGAAAATATTTGTTGTTTTAGTAATATTAAGTAAAGAGTCTGTTTATAGAGAAAAAATACCGATATTGAAAAGATAAACTATGTAGAGGTTCTTAAATAGGGACCTGAAATGGTTCCAGTAAAAGATGGTACGGCAGTGTTGGCTTCGCGCTCGACTTGGCGGGGGCGCTCCCATTCCTCATTAGTTAAAGTTTTTAATGAGAATGAGAAGTTAAATGTACCTAAAGACTGATTTAACAAAAAACAATTACTAAGTTTTTTTTATGGCATAAGCTGGTAAACGAGCCGACGGATCACCTGATGGTAAGCAATCGGCGTCGCCCATGAACACCTGGAACACCAGAGGCGTTACAAGTGCGTCACCGGCTTATTGGGGATTAGGAGTTTGAGGATCGTTGGGGATTCAGAGATTGGGGAGATTGGGGAAGGGGAAGGTAATTGGGTCTCCGGTAACCTCACTCACACGACGAAACACAACGCAAGCGTTGCTTCACGTCGGTTTTCTGTGAGGCCGGTCGAGCCGGCCCATTCGTGCCGAAGCTCTCCCACACTTAAAAAAAGTTTGAGTGTGGTAAAAAAGTTTTCCAGTCTTGAGAAATTGGAATTGGGTAGTCTTGGAAAAACTGTATTATGTATGATACTGGTAGATAGCTGGTGGTATATTTGTTTGTGAAAATGTTTGTAAACGCACTCAGGACATGCAAGAAATTCCTTAGTCGTTGTAACGTCATGTCCTGACTAAGACTTGTTATAACAGGACGTGATGTGGATAGGCTACCCTCTGAGTGATGAGGAGCCGACTATCATACACCACTTCACTTTCTACGACGACCTGGAAGAGGAAGGTGGCTTCGTGTACCCAAACTTTGCGAGTGGTTTCGCCATGAGGATAGAACTTATTGAAATGTAAGTATTTATTACAAAAATTCTACTTTATAATATTCTATTAATTATTTTTATAAATGCAAACGTTTGTAAGGGTATTTGGATGAGTGTATGGATGGATGAATGGATGAATGTATGTATGTTTTGTTACTTGAAGTTACGATTTATTCAAAATATGTTGTCTCCTATTTTTGCAATAGTTTAGCATATAAATATATGGTAAAATAACCACCAATTCTGTTCATCAGTCTACAATATTCCGCGATAGTAAGTACCTACCTAATCTTTAAAATAATTTTCTTTTTCATCCGATTCCTTTTTAGCCTCCTAAAGCAGATAGAAAGCGGGCAACGTCGCCTGGAGGCAGATTTCTCAATAGACCCAGCATTTGAACTGGCACAGCTGGTATACGGAGGTGGTACAGACCCTGGACCTCTGCTGACACCAGACCTTAGCTTCTGCATAGTGTCTGGAGACAATTGTGCCACCTATCCAAGGCAGTTTGATATATGTGTGAGTATATAGTAATGAAAGTGCTAAAGAAATGTGTTTTTTTTTATTCACGTGGCCACTATGCCGCCGTCTTCGTTGAGGAAGAATATAATCTACCTGCAACAGAGTTTTGTCATCAGTTGTAGTTGATAGGCTTCTGACGCATATTCTCAAGTGCCACGTTATCGGCAGGGCAGTGCCATACCTGAACACTCGATATACTTCGCCGTGAAGACTTGGAGTGGTTTCCACAACTCCAGGGCCAGGGTTGTCAAGAAGACTTGGGGGAGACATGTGACCCACTTGGTGTTCTATAGTGATAAAGATGGTGAGTTAATTATGTATCTTTGTCATTCTCTCATTCCTTTGTCCTATTTTGATTAAATTGTCACCTTTTTAAACAAAATTTACATCGGTTAAAAGTTTAAATTACTTTAACTGATTGACTAGACATTATATTTGTTCTGATTTGTGGGGGTTAAATTGCTTGGGAATCCCAACTTTGGAAAGTTTAAGAGAGAATTGGGTTTTAGTAAGAAAAACTGTTCTTTTAGACCACGACGCTGACAAAAAAGCACGGCCCACCAGATGGTAAGTGGTTACCGTGGCCTATTTATTTATTTATTTATTATTGTGATGTTAACACGGCTTTACACCAATTACATTAACACACATACAAAGAGAAATCAAAGAGAATCGAACGGTTACAATAACAGAAAAAGAAGAAAAAAGAAAAAAAAATGAAACATAAATAAACGTCACATTAAAAAAAAAACAAAAAATACAATTAAAATTCAATTAAGAAACATAAAGAAAAATTAGACAATTACAATAGTAAATGACAAAAAGAAAATATCACAGTAAAATGAAATCAAAACATTTAATTATACAATTCAACACAGACTTCAGAGACTTTCACAAAAACTGAGACAAACCTTTTTAATAGCTTTAAGCTCGTCCATGAATAGGTCGCAGTCAGGGTAGGCTTCCACGAGGCTATTGAGCGCGGACAGGATGCGAGGAATGGGGGACGATGCCCGGGCCACGGTACGACTTGCGGGCACGGATAGTAGACGGTGCCTCCGGGCGCGTATGTAGTTATTTGGGGCATACAATCGAATCAGCTCACTGTGGAGATCAGGAGCATCTATGATCCCTCTGCAGATTTTTAGTGTGATGTGAAGTTGATTGTAACACTTGGGGCATTACTTGCGCCTTTCCGACCCTTAAACCTATTTACCCTTCTTGAAGTTGCGGAGAACCTAACGGGGCTCCGGCTCGAAGTGTAGGAGAAGGAACGGGGTGGTTTTTAGTCAGTAAGAGTCTGACACTCCCTCCCGCCTCACCCAGGCGGGAGCAGTCATTCGATGATTTTCCACCCATAAAAAAAACCCTTGTTGAAAAACCCCATATTGTACGTAAATCGTACAGTAATCATAAGTCTTAAATACTTAAAACTTAGACGGAAAAAGCACATGCTTCATGAAAAAGTGGTTCAGATATCTTCAGGGGTTCGCGTGATACAATGCGCGCCTAAAACAACCACAAAACGGTATGCAGATAATAAAATGTAATAAAATTGTCTTCAACTTATGTTCCGTGTCATAAATGTGACTGTTTATAATAATGCTATCATAAAGGGTTTCTTTAAAAGGGTGTCTCTCATCGGCCCATAAATCTGAATACCAAATCACCCTTTCTTTAATAGCTGGAATAATAAAAGAACATTTTTACCAACAACTTGTGCAGTTCAGCGAAGGAATTCCAACTTCTGGAGGCATTTGGCATGGCATGACAAAGACATCACGTAAGGAGAGGAATGTAAAGTATTATTTTAATATCAGCGTGCACGGTTCATATGGAGACCATAATTTAATCAAATCAGTTACTACCTTTAAAAATTTTTTTATTATCTATACCTGACTGGACAAACTTCGTACCGCCTAAAATTTTTGGCTCACCTATTAAACCTTCCCTGGACTTCCACGAACATTTGAAGTCCAAAATTATCCAAATCGGTTCAGCCGTTATCGAGTTTTAACGAGACTAACGAACGGGAATTCGCTTTTATTTATATAACTACATTGTTTTGGGGACTTTTTATTCAGGAATATATCAGCCCTGATTTATTTCTTCAAAATGGGATTATGGCTCCCACTATGGGATTTTGGCTGTGTCGTTGATTTTCTTGGTATAATTTAGGTAGGTCTGAGTGTGATATGTTTGTAAAAAGTGTGTTTTTCTTTGATCACGATAAATGTATTTTGTTTTAGATTCGTCGCTCCCGGCGGTCAGCACAGGTATACCAAACAGTAAGACTGGACACTGCGCCAAAACTATGGCCATCTTGAAAATGGTGCTCAAAAGAGTGAACAACATGCCACATATCAAGTGGATATTTTTAGCGGATGATGACACTATACTTGGGTAAGTTACAAACTCGAATGAATTAAATAGTAAATATTACAGATACGCAACAAATTATAAAGTGACACCGATCTTCATCCAGATGTGATCCTGGTAAGCTTGATTTTTAAAATTCGTATTAAAAACTTAGATCTATCTAGAGAGTCTGCAAGATCGACAATCAATCTCGACCACACGCTTTACATGATCACTATTATGTTTAATGCGAAACCATCTATCGAGATCTCTGAAGATTTAAACGATATATCTGAAAGTGATCCGATTTTAAAAATAGCCGACTATTAACTTCAGAAGCTTCATCTACCAACCGGGCAGAAACAACATTTTTATTAAATATAAGTATTTTTACAGAGTCCAAAGGCTGTGTGAAGTCCTCAGTTGCTACCGTGGTGGAGCCGATGTGACGGTACTTGGGGAGAGGTATGGGTACGGGTATGGGAAGAAAGAAACTGCTGCGAAAGGTGAGTCGTTACTTAGACACAGATCAACTTTATTGGAATTACCCAAGAAACATACCTAAATAATGTAAAAAATATATACTTTTTCGAGGTAAAATAGTTGTTCTCGACCCCCGTAGGTTACGACTACATAACGGGCGGTGGGGGCACGGTGCTGAGCGTGGGCGGCGCGCGCGCCGTGCTGGCGTGTTCGTGCGGCGCGGCCGTGTCTGCGCGCGCGGCGCCCGACGACATGACGCTCGGCGCATGCGCACACCATCGACTCAACATCTCCATGACTCATTCCCCGTTGTTTCATCAGGTACAAACTTATTTGATTTATTTCATTAATATTTTTATACAACAATGTAAATACAACTGAAAAAGGTGCTAAATCCGCCTGGCATATGCTGAGTTGACGACCCGTTTAGCATAGGCATGTTGCCATCTTATTTATTTATTCTTTTTGGTATTGTATCTATTCTCGTTTATTCATTTCTGTGCCAATTAAAGCTTTCTTTCTTCCTTCTTTGACATGCATATAACCAAACAGTTTTTTGGGTAAGCGACCTATCATTATGCTAGCTCTCCTGATGGTAATTTCATAGGCAGTGGTCCCTATTTTATCTCGTTTATTTTTGTTATGGCATAAGCCTGTAAACGAGCAGACGGATCACCTGATGGAAAGCAATCGGCGTCGCCCATGGACACCTGGAACACCAGAGGCGTTACAAGTGCGTTACCGGCCATTTGGGGATTAGGAGTTTGAGGATTGTTGGGGATTCAGGGATTGGGGAGATTGGGGAAGGGGAGGGTAATTGGGCCTCCGGTAACCTCACTCACACGACGAAACACAACGCAAGCGTTGCTTCACGTCGGTTTTCTGCTCGGCCGTGGTATTACTCCGGTCGAGTAGGCCCATTCGTGCCGAAGCATGGCTCTCCCACACTTACCTTGGACTTTTTGTGTCTAGTTAGGCAACTCGGGCCTTTGCCTTAGGAATTGATGACGTCAGATGGCAAGACATTGTATAGAATCTAAGTAAATTAAGAACAAGGAAATATGAACAATTTAATAAAATTGTATATGAACATATAATGTGTCAACAATATGAAACCAAAATAAAACTGTCTTTACATTCCTAGGCCCGACCCCAAGACTATCCTCGCGAGGTATTAACAAGAGACCGTCCAGTATCCTTCCACCGCCACTCCTCACCAGAACCGACCAGGGTCTACGCCACCTGGTTCCAACACGATGACCTGGCCATCAGGAAGACGAGGAAGAGAGATGAACTTTGAAGAACAAAGATGGCTGCTCAAAAATGACAGTTTGGTAAGATTTACAGTTTATTATTGAAGATGATTTTGGTAAGAAAAGAATGCATTTAGGTATATTTCTATGTAAATCTATTTGTCTTCTATCATCTATATAAAATTGAAACCAGTTTACCTTTGTCACGCCATAACTTGAGAACGGTTAGACCGATTTGGCTGATTTTATTTTTGTTGTGTTTGTTATCGTCAGGAGAAGGTTCTTATGACAGAAAAATGTCCGAAAAACCTACGTGAATGGGAGAAACAGGATTGTGCGTACGAAGCCGCGGGCAGAAGCTAATTTGTACTAATATCAAATTAACTATATTTCACGACTTATGTCCAAATACTGAAACGCTACTCGACAAGACGCGTTTAAGTATTCACTACAAATTCATTGTAAAATGAATGAGATGGCACGATATTTAAGTAAAACTTAAATTTGAGTAGCCTTTTAGTATTCGGGCGTTAATATCCTAAGTATCGTAACTGTTCGCTGAAGTTACTCGTCTATTTTCAAGTCATACTAGGGATCTATGATTGTGAACAGAATAATAATAACTTGGTTATACGACGCTTGTTACGTTGATTATCCGCTGCCGCTGCGGCTGGCGAAGTAATATAATAATATTAAAAAGAAATGTGATAAAACGACATCACAAATATTGTCATTATAATCTGTCTTACTTTGGACAGCGTTCTTAGAAAATTATTATTATTATTTTATAGTTAATGCTTTTAAATTAATATTGTTTTAAACTGTAATTGTTGAATAGAATTAGTGCTTTTTGAATAGTTTTTACTGTGCCATACTTTAAACTTAAGTGTTGATATAGTTATTGAATTTTCAGTTCATTTCTATCTTTTAGTAAAATGTAGAATAAGTACTAACTGTCTCAAATTATGAATTTGAATCTTATTATTATTTACTTTTGATACTAATATTGGTAAATTTTAGAAATGTTAAGCGAATATTATGTAAGTAGCATAATAAACTTTATTGTTTAGTAATGTTAAAGATTATATTTGTATGTTTAAATACGATCTTGTCCTTTAGATTTAATAGAAATGTTTTTATTCCTAACTACAATTTGAAAGCGCTTATAACATACCTCTGTTTTGTTAATTGTGGCATTTATTATCATGTAAGTATTCGATTATTATTTATTTTATAATGTTGAACGTTGATTAGTCACAGACAGCTATTGAACACAAGAACCGGGTTTTATTCTCAGATAGAAAAAAATCACAAAAATATAACTTAGCATACTTAAATGGTCTTTAATCGCCGTATGTATCAGTAGACTCGCAATGGATTAGCTTTGTATAAGATTATGTTTAAATATAAACGTATTTTACTAAAAAGCTTCTAATTAATAAACTACTAACAAATTAACGAATACTAGATTAGTTAAATAAATTGTGTGGCGTCACCCACGACGACTTTTTGTGGCCATGCAGTCGCGATGTTGTCGCGCGGTGCATCAATACAGACGTGAAGCGGTCGCTAGCTGTGTGTCCTCGTCCACGGGCCCGGCTTCAGGCTGCTTGCTCACGACCTACTCTCTGTAGCGATGATGTCACGTGCCAACTAAAAGTGCGACAGCATCGCTACTAACGTGTGTTACTTTTGTATGCACTTCGTAACTGTATCGGTTCTAAGGACGACAGCATCGTGGGCGAGCGGCCAGTTAAATACTTTGGATTGGTACAGTCGCAAGAGGAACCGTTGAGGCAATATGAGTGACATTGTCTTTGGGCGCCTTGGCATCGCTAATGTAGCGCGTTGCAAATGCAACGAAGGGCTATATATTTCACCGGGACACAATGGCGGCGCAACCCACCAGGGTGCTTACTCTTGAAATCAATCTCAATGTCAATGCAATTTCAATCCAATAAAATCTCAATAATTATTCAATGTCAAAACTATACAACCCCTATCGTAGCTGTTAAAATAGCATTCAGAGTACGGAATATAAATCTAAACTCAATACTATTTAGTTTAAATATCCACGCAATACGGATGCAATGGGCGCTAGTGTTGCAACTCAAGAGTACGAAATTCCACAATACCAATGTCGATCGATCGGAATTGGATTCAAGAGTAAGCCACCTGGTGTCGGCTTGGTTGCGCAACCAAAGATATATTCTTATTCAGCACAGAATATTACTAGTCGCTCATTCACGCTGGTCGCGCCACCGCTAATTACTCTAGCGCTGTGTCTGTCTGAGTCTGGCCACCATGGTGACGCGACTGGCTCCGTCGCCATGGTATCGCGCTTTTAGTGAACATCGCTACAATAAGTCGTCGTGAGCGAGGAGCCTTTAATATAGTTACCAGTAATTTTATTGTTTCTACCCGTATTATTATTATTGTACCCAGTATTGTTATGTACTAAGATATTAAATTAACATATCAGTTATGTAATTAAGTATTAATTTTAATAAAGTTTACTATTTTTCTAGTTGTTTGTTTTATTTGATAATTATAATGGTAAAGTTATACTACCTTATTGTCTAGTGACCAGAAATACGACTGTCATGAATTAACTAAAAATTACGAGTTACTCATGTAAATATGCTGAGTAAAGCTCTACTAGTTTCGAGTCACAGAGGGACTCTTCCTAATGAGCAGCGTGCGCGGACGCGGCGATGTCGCGCAGCTTACTGTCTACTAGTTATTATAAAAACACGACTGTCATGAGGTCCAAGTAATCATTTTTATTTATTTTTATTTATTTATTTAACACTTTATGCACAACTGTATACAATGGCGGACTTAATGCCGAATGGCATTCTCTACCAGCCAATCATAGGGTGATGCAGAGAAGTGTTACAGTGGGTGATAAACGAAGTTTGCATCTATTGAAAAAAATAAAAATAAAAAACGAGGGTGATAAATGTATCCTAGTACATAAATTACATACCAATACTACATACTAATATGAAACATAAATATAATATGTAAATAAAAAATATAAAATATAATATAAAAATAAATATATGGGTTTATATATTTTATATAATTATATATATAAAGTTTCTGAGGAGGGTGCTAATTGAGACTTGATTGTGTCAGTTTGTTCTGAAGATATTCTCTGACTTTAAATTTAAAGGATAGCCGACTGGAGGCCGTCCTGATATCCGTGGGCAGCGCATTCCACAATAAGACTGACTGAATGAAAAAAGACGAGTGGAGAAAGTCGGTTCGGTGTGTGGGACCTTGGAGGAGGAGATTGTTTGTGGAACGGAGATACTTATTGTGGTTGGTGCTCACATATTGAAAGTAGGAGGCTAAATAACTTGGAGAAGTGGGGGAATTAAGCAGGGAGTATAAAGTGGTGAGTGCCCGTTGTTCCCTGCGTTGATGTATGGGCAACCACTTTAGTTTCGATCCAGATTGATCCTAACTCTTCGGCTCGTCGCGGAGAACCTAACGGGTAACCGGGGCTCCGGCTCAACGTGCAGGAGAAGGAACGGGGTGGTTTTTAGTCAGTAAGAGTCTGACACTCCCTTCCGCCTCACCCAGGCGGGAGCAGTCATTCGAAGATTTTCCCCCCTTAAAAAAAAAAAAACCACTTTAGTTGCAATCGGTATGCAGAAACATGGTCGTATTTACGCAGGTTGAAGATGAATCGAATACAGTTATGCAGAAGGCGGTCCAGTTTATTGATGAGATCTGCATTCAGGTCGGAGTAGCAAACATCAGCATAGTCAATGATAGGGAAGACCAAGGAACGGACAAGCATTATCTTGGTGGAGGACGGAAGAAAATTCTTAAGGCGATACAAATAATCATGAGCGCATTCTATAAATTTTTTGTAGTATGTAACTCAAAGTCAAAGATCCTCGGGTTTGCTATGAAGGTCTAATTGGCCTATTGGTGCACCTACGACCAAAAGTATGTACCGCTTCAACTCAGCAAATTTTTAAAGTTTAACCTACTGCCGCCGAATCTAGTACAAACTCAACCACCCTTGATCTAGAAGAAAATAACGTAGCTAATACAGAATGTAAATGGAACGCTCCTGAAAAACACCGATAGGTGTTGGTCAATATATAAATAATCTTTTCATAAAATTCAATGTGTAAACATAGCTGTTGACAACAACCATTATTACATGTTGACTGCACGGTTGGTGCGGTGGCTGGGCTACTGGCTGCCGCGCAACGTATTGCGAGTTTGAATCCCGCACGGATCAATTCTTTGTTCCGGGTCTGGGCGTCATGTGTTTGTGAACTTGTATGTTTGTTAACGCACCCACGACACAGGAGAAAATCCTAGTGTGGGGCAACGTTTTTTAAAAAAGAGAAGGGAATTGAGACTCTCAAGGCTGATACCTATTGCACGAAAAAATTTAAAGTGTAAAACAAAATCTTATCAGCGTTTTTTGGGAGCGTTCCTTTTACACTCTGTATAATGCTTATATTTTCTTTAAATCCATCACATACTACATACAAGTGTACACTATTATTTATTACCAAGGCACCCAAAATACCTCGACATAACCCTATCAATCATCCTCGAAACCTCCCAAAGATGTTTCCCAATAAGATGCGCCGTTAATGAGAGCACCCCTTGTTCCGGCTAATGGACGCATTGAGCGCGATGACTTGCGCCCTAAAAGCAAGTCATTACACTTAATAAACAGCAACTTGCAATGAGGGAGCGCTCAGTCATCTCAGGGCTTCGTGTGAGAGTTGATGTGTCTCATAAAGAAGTCGTTTTGAAGGTTTCGTTGTCACAACTTAATATAACGTTGAACTGTTTAACTGCACGGTTGGTGCGATGACTGGGCAACCGGCAACGTGTAGTTCCATTCCCGCACGGAGCAACTGTTTCTGTAATCCACAGATTGTTGTTACGTGTCTAAGTGTCATGTGTATGTGAACTTGTATGTTTGTAAACGCACCCAGGATACAGGAGAAAATCCTAGTGTGGGGTAAAGATTTATGAAAATTAAAAAGTTAAATCCTCGGAGAAACCCTCAATAGACAAGTATGTTATGAATCAAATTTACTAGGAGATGAATCTATTATTATATACTCGCGCATTTTTAAAAACATTAACGCGACCGGAATCCT